CCATCACTTGGACGAAGGAACGCATCGTCTTCAAATAGCATCGTCTTCTAATGTTTGACACTTAGAAAAATTTTCAAAGTCACATTCAAAAGGAGCCGATGCGCTACCAGTCCATATCTAGACACCGCTTCGTCTTCAAAAAAGACTGTCCAAGACAAAAACAGCACACAAAGATGACGAGATGCATCGTACCTAATGGCAACAAATGGAAGAAGGATTGCAACGTCTCAAGTAAAAGACGCTAAAACATTGAGACCACACCTCACTCCAGACGATGGAATACATCACCTAAGCCGTTGCGTTCTTATAACTCATAAGGGATCGCGGCGTCTTAAACATGCGAGACATGTTTTGATGCTGAAGAAGGAGCGCAGACGAAGGAGCGCTTCGTCTCAATCACGCAGGGGCGCACCCCCCCTGATACTCGGCAAAAAATCTTTGAAAAAATAAAAAGGAATACGAAGACGATAAAGACGAAGCAACACATTCATTCAAAGGCAAAAGAGTTCATTAATTCCGGATATCGAATACAAAAGGTGGGCGCTTCGGCCGTTACATGCACTTTGGTGCTAGAGCTACAAAAGTAATAAAAAAGCATAGCACAACCTACGCTGCCTCATCGGCTTGCTCCTTGCTGTGGCCAACGTCCTCTCCGCTGCCGCCACCAGCTTCATCACCACCGCCATCCTCATCGGCCTGGGAGTCGGCAGGCCCCTCGAGCAAGTAGTCGTCACAGTCGCTCCAGGGCTCTTCCCCTTCGGATGAACTTAGGATCGGAGGCTGCCTCTCCGATAGGGGAAGCTTCAAATCCTCATCAGGATTCTTCATCCGCCGAGGGAGACTCAGACCCCTCGGCCTCATCTTCCGGAAGCGACGACGCAGCTTCCTATAGATAAGCTTCTGCATCCGATACTGGCCGCAGTCGTAGAAAGCTTGCATCTCGTTCATCCAAAATGCTTCGCCGACGGGATCCTTCGTCGTCCAATCATTCAACCTCTCAGCAACCACCTCATAGCAGAAGGGGAGCTGATCATCGGCTTTCCATCCCTCGGCCTTGAAGTCAGCAACGGCCTTCTCAGCGGCCTTCTCAGCATTGGCTTTGAGCCGCTCCGCCTCCTCGGCTCTTTGGATGGCAGCGGCGATGGCCTCATCAGCTTTCTTCCGGGCCGCCTCGGCCTCATCAAGCCGCACCTGGAGGAGCTTCATTTCATCCTCCGCGGCTTTGGCCTTGTCCTTCAGGTCCTGAAGGGCCTCATCAGCTGAAAGAGCCTTAGCCTCCAGTTTCTTGAGGCGCTCGATCTCGGCCTCCTGTCTCCAGTGCTGCTCCCTCAGCATCAATGCACCCTGGACGAAGCAAAGTAAGGTCAGAGATGAAAGTAAAAACCAAGTAAAAGTCACAGAGTATGGGGAAGAGTCTTACCTGGACGACATAGTCCAAACCCCCATCGTACAGGTGGACGTGCTTGCCCTGCCGGCTGAGGTATTGCCGGTCATACTCAGGCATAGCCTGAGCGAGCACGTCGTCGCCACTAACGGTCTCGTTAAAGAGACCGCCCTTCACCGGGTAGCGCACCGTCACCTCGTACGTCCCTTTGGCAAGGGCCTCCTCCAAACGGGCAGCAGCGGCGGTGGAAGGAGCCACTCGGGAAGCCGAAGCCACCAAAGCCGATGACGGCGTATCATGCAGAGGAGGGACAACGGTCCGCTGAGCATCCTCAGCGGCCTGAGAGGAGGGAGCGCCGACCTCGTCACTTGAGGGAACCCTCTTCGTCTTCTTTGAGGCATGTGGTTTCAGACCCGCCTCGGTCAAAGTTTTCTGGCCTTCATCGGCTCCTCTTTTCTTCTTAGGAGCAGGTTTCTTGACGGCCTCGCCCCCCCCTTGAGAACCGCCGGCAGATGCCTTTGCTTTCTCAGCGGCCTGAGCGGCCTTCAGCTCCGCATCGGCTTTCTTTGCAGCCCGAGCCATAAAAGACATCCGATCCATATCGAAGCCTGCACAAAACAATACAAGGGTTAGCAACAAACATAAAGAATACTACATAAAGATTAGGTTGGGGGTCAACCTTCGGCCTCAGCAGGCACGCCTAGACGGGGCCCATCGGCTTGCTCATAAGAACCGGAGATCTTCGGCCAGAAGCCATCGTCCACATCACCAGGACAGTAGTATCTAACGAAGCCAAGAGCAGCCATCTTATACTCCGTCACATATGTCTTTATGCTCCTCGGCCCGCCCTTGATAAAGGCTTCCACTTGGTTACTTATTTCAGCGTTCCAAGGGGGATTGTGCAACTCAAACATGCCGTCGTGACCAACGGAGGAGAAGAATCCGCCTCGGCCCAGGGTAACAAAAACAAACTTCGCCTTCCAACCATGGATGGACGAAGGCAGATCTATGAACGTCCTCCTCTTAGGAACCTGCTGCAGGGCTGCATACCCAGCACAATTCTGGTGGCTCCCTCGGCCTATCCGGTATAAATTCATGAAAAGTGCAATCGTCGGCGTAAATTCCAACTCCTTGCATCGAATCAGGAAGCCGACTATCAAGGAGTAACTGTTTGGGGTCAACAACGCCGGAGGGAGACCCACCATATTCAAATACTCGGTGATGAAAGGGTGGAGAGGGAACCTCAGACCCTTCGCGAAGCTCATCGGGTAAATACCGAAATAATCTAGTGGGGGATTCAGCACATGATCTGTCGGTTTCGGCGCTCGAACCCGCCCATAGGGCCCTACGTACAGCTGGGCGACATGATACTCGCCGAGGGTTCCCTCTGGCCGAATGATGTAGAGATTACTAAGATCAAGCCACGAGTGCCCCTGTGGTACGCCCTTCTGTTTCTTCCGCCGATATGGTTTCTTCATCCCTAGGGACGATGCGCCCTCCCCTGCTACGGAAGATAACGGAGGGGGGCAGGGAATATTGGCCGATGAAGAGGCCCCATTCCCCCTCAGAGGCGAGCTAGAGGTCGCCTCGTCTTCACCAGAATGACGCGCTCCCGCATCGGCACTCATTCTCTCCTCATCTACAGAAGTGCGGTAGTCGGCTGTATTTTCCATTTCGACCTCGAAGGCTTCGATCAGTCGCAGATCAACTCTAGGGGACGTCTCGTCCTCGTCAAAAGGCCAGTCTTCTTCGTCCAACGAAGCTGTTAAGTCAAGGGGGGAGGGAGCGCTACGGCCGTTAGAGAACGGCATAACACCTACACCTATTCCTAAGGGCGGTTTTTCGGATCAAAGTGGCTTCCCTACAAACACTAGATCTAACCCCCTAGGAAGCAAAGTGTAAAGAAAAAAAGAAGAACAGGTAAGAATCTGACCTTTAACGATTTGAAGATCTGAAGGAAGGATTGATGAACACTTGAAGAAACCTCGGGAGCTTTCCCTCTCTAAAAATTTCAGCAGCAGTTCGACTCAAGCAAATGCAAAATGAGGGGAAGGCTTCGGAGAAAAGGGGTATTTATAAACACCCCCTCCAACGGTCACTACACGTGGCAACCTCCAATTGGCCACCTCAACGGCGCCTCCCCTAGAACCAATCAAACGCATGTCTTTCCACATTCCACCCATTAAGGCTACCGCTACGGCCCAACAGGCCCCGAAACTAGGGGTAGGCACCGGCCTACTCACTCAAACGCAAGAAGAAACTCGCTACGGCCCAATTTACCAAAGAAATCGCCGCATCAGCAAATTGCGCTACGGCCCCAAAGCAACCCCAAAGAACCGCTACGGCTATTCACGCGCACATCGTTTGATGATGACCCTGGTATCGCGGCCTTAGTCCAAGGGTTCTCCCACAGGGTTACCTTGGACAGGTTCGCCTAAGGGTTGGACTCACGACTAACGCATGGGGTACCGTATCGGCTTGAGAACATCCTGACTCCCTTGTGCCTCAAAAGAACTCTTCGGCCAAAGGAGTGGGGGACTGGGGAACTGTATCGGCTACAGGAAAGAAAACAATATAAAATGGAGCGCAACGGCCTTAAATGCAAAGAGGGTTCGCTACGGCCCACCAATAAGCCACAATTCACCCCCAATAGCATTGCGGATCGCATCGGCTAAAGAGCCCAAAAATTTAAAAATCCAGAAACAAAATCCAGCGCGCAACGGCTACGTACACGGGGGGACTGCGTCAGCTCACCAAAGCAAGAATACACAAGTCAAAATGCTCCGGCCACATGACAAGATCAAAGGCATACATCGCATCGTCCTCATGGACAGAATCAGTCATCTCCACTTCGCAAAAACAAGGACCATCACTACGGCCAAAAAATAAATAGGACCTCTTCGGCCCCAACAAAATGGTAATAACAGGCCAGTCTCCATAATTCACATCTACTGGAAAGAGAGAGCGCACCGCATCGTCCTCGCGACATTTTTCACAAAGAGCGCATCGGCCCGCACCAAAGTTATGAATCCTCAAGCGCGCCCCATCTACAGCAAATGAGGAAACCGCTTCATCTAAAATCAAAGCAGAACCCCTTCGGCCACCAAGCACCTCGAAGCTCACGCAACGGCCGGCCAGAAAGGAACGAGTACTCCCTTTCGCTTCGGCTCCGCCTCAGCTCAGAGAGTGGGGGACTCCTGATAGAGTATATGGGCCTGGACCCCATGACCCACATACTCAAGTAAACGGCGACCAGAAGAACACCCACGTGGCCCCCTTCGACCACAACTTCCGGGGCCGCATCGGCCCATGGACCGCATCGGCCAGAAGGCACCGCATCGGCCCGACTTCGTCCGGGCAGAATACATCTCTCTACTTTATTTACTAAGTATTGTACACAGCCCATTAGTGGCCCTATTTCGCCCAAAGAAGGCATGATTATTGTAATGGGCCTCCTAAGCCCATGGCTAGGAGCCCAAATCCACATTTTTACCTATAAATAGACCCCTTGGGGCTAGTTATAGGGGGTTGAAAAATATAATTACTCACTTTCTCTCTCTAGCTCTCACTTCTCTCTAGAATTAATACTCTATCACCATATATTTTAGTTCGTAGGCTAATTTAATTTGTTCAGAAATGGTCTGGCGAAGTGTTATTATTAGGTGGGAAAGTACAAGTGAAGCTCATAAGAATGAGAGCCTCCGGATTGGGAGTGGTAAGACAAAAAGCGTAGTTGAGGGAGGATGCAGTATTTAGGGGCGTCTTCTTTCTTTGATTTGTATTTGTATAATTGTATCTGTATGTATATATACTACTAGTCATCCCAAAGCAGAAAGCGACCTCAGGGAAATAGACACGCAAAGTAAGTCTCAGAGGCAGTGTGATCATGGGTAACACCCTCCGAACTCTCGCCCCCAACTCCGAGCGACCCCAAGATACCCAACCCGCCGCTCTGGACCTGGAATCGCAAGCTCAAAACGGGCCCTTCACATGCGAAATCTGCGTCGAGCCGATGATCTTGCCCAGAAAATTCAAGAACAGGACCATCTGCTCTCACCCATTCTGCACTGACTGTATCGTCAAGTACATCTCCGTCAAGCTCGAAGACAACGCCGCCACAATTCAGTGTCCTGCTCTGGATTGCTCCGAATTTCTCGACCCGATTTCATGCCGGACCCTACTTGCCCCCCAGCTGTTCGTCAAATGGTGCGACGTGCTTTGCGAGGCCACAGTGCTGGAATTGGACCGCTGTTACTGCCCCAACCGCGACTGCTCCACGCTGATCGTCAACGAGTGCGGCGGGAATGTGAGGCGCTCCCACTGCCCCAATTGCAAGAGGCTGTTTTGCTTTCACTGCAAGCTTCCTTGGCACGCCGGCTTCCGTTGCGAGGAAAGCCGCGAATTGAGGGATGTAAACGACTTAGCTTTCGGTGTGCTTGCTGAGCAGAGAAGGTGGTCGCGCTGCCCCAGGTGCCTTCATTTCGTCGAACGCATTGAAGGCTGCAAAATTATTCATTGCAGGTCCATTTCTTTTCTCTCTTCTCTTGAAATTCAAGATTTAAACTTTGGTTGGTTAGATGCTTTTAAAGTCAACTATCTGAGAGGAAAAATGCTTCTGATCGTTCCAATTGGGATATCTATGGTTTTCATCAATTAGCGGGTGAAGATTCTGTTTGTAGTGTGACAAATTGGCACATGCTTTATGCTGCAATGCTTAGTTCCAACCTTCAATGGTCTGCTGTTTGTTGAATACGGAAGTAGTACATATGATAAGAATGTATGTCTTTGACCCTACTTGATTGGCTAAGGGATATTCTTTTCAATGTTTCCACATACTGCAGGACATTGAGAATCACTTCTTTTATCTTAGCGCTTTAGCTTATTAAATAGTGAGCGAAGGTGTTTTGCATGAGTTGTGGGGGTGATTCTTATTCCACTATCATTGTGATTGAACACAGTTTTGTCCAACTGTCAGACCTTTTTTAAATTTTGGGGGCTGTTGTCCCCCCAAAATTTTATTTTCCTAGGTATATTTACCCCGCGATTTTAATATATATGTATTTGTATGTATATTTTAACCCTGCCGCCTCTCCAAACCGGAATTCCTGCGTCCACCGCTGCTGTGGGGGTGATGCAGAGGATAGTGTGTGTATTAAACTATTAATATGTGTTCAATGGTCAAAGCAATGAAGATGCCCTTACGTGAGTTAATGAGTCACTTCTCAGTGGGAGATTGACTGAGATATCCAACTTCAAACATAGGCTACCTAAACATTAGCTTCATTGAAATGTTTTGGATTGGTGGGGTTATGCTCTGTACTTCTGTACACAGATCTTGGAAATTTTATTGCCTTTTTCCCTGTTATTTTTATTTCATCTCCCTTTCCGGAATACTTAGATATTAAAAGCATACTGCTGGGTGCACTTATAGTGATTGTAACACAGGAAACTTATCTCAAAGGTTGATGAGAATTGAAACCAAAAGGGTCTTCAGTAGTCAGTACCTGTCTCTCTATCTTGATCTACTTCTCAAGCTCATAATAGGTTAGGAAGTATCTATAGAATTTGAACCCCAGCTTTCTCTGTTTTTAAGTCTAGTACGGAACCTTCTAATGGATGTCATGCATCCGGAAAGATTATTTGAAATAGCATCCAACTGTTTGTCTACATATATACTTATATAGACACACACACAGTCACACACAATTATATGTATATGAAGATAAATACCAAAGAAACTTTGCTATGTGCTAGTGTGCCACACATATCTAGTAGGCTAGTAGCATAGTATTTTTGGCGGTACATTATATAGAGTTTTGGACATAATGCCATCTTGCTATTAATGTTATGTACTCTGTAAAACATAAAGCATCTTATATGTAACAAATAATAATAATAATAGTGGTAGTAGTAATAATAATAAGAGTACAAGGATTACACATGGAATAATTTATATAATGCCTTTGTGTTTGTATGTACTAGAACGCCTAAGATCCTTGCTGCTAAGAACTTAGAACCTAATATGCTGGGATAAACTTGTCAAAAAAACTAATTTGTGATATAGAGGGGCAAATTGTAGGCATCCTTTCAAGCTTCTTTATCCTAAAGACCTAAACTTTCTACTTTTTTTTTTCTATATCTAGTTGTCTGCTTTCTTGTTCTAGTTCCTTGTTGAGTCAAGGTCAACATTGCATCCCTGTCCAACTACAACAACATTATGGCCTCATATGGATGGGCATCGAATTTCCCTATTCCCGGGTGTGGTGCCCAGGTTTGAAAAAAAAAACTTTTTTTGGGTTTCCTCCGTACTTTTTGAGTGAAATCCTCTCATTCAATTCATGATAATATCTGATTCTGACTAATTTAATCCCAACTGAATTTGAACTGACAATTCTGTTGTGAAGCTTTTAGGGTATCTATTGATCCCGGAAAATACTAGGGAATGGAAAACAATGCCAAAGAAAGTTGTTGTCTTATGCTTGGGTTAACACAGAAAATGCGGAGTAAAATGATACATAGTACGTAGTATATGATTTTAAATTTTTTAACACCTAAATATGTTTCTTATCATCAATTACATAATGCAAATAAAATAAAAAAGAAAGAGATAAAACAGATATCTGAGATAAATTTATTAAGTTTGAATGCATCTTTTCTTGCCCTTTCCTCCTCCTGGTAAGGGCGGTCGGTCTCTATGTGTTTAAATGAATGTGTGGATGGCAGGTGTGGCATAAGCTTCTGTTACAGATGTGGAAAACAGGTGCATCAACATTGGTGCGGATGTGATACAGCTTCATGTTGCTGCATATGGACTTGGAAAATCCTAATGTTCTTTCTCGCCCTCATGTTTTTCTACTTCCTCTTCTGGGGCTTCGGCATGAGGCCCCCTCGCTTTGCTCCCTGAGTTGTGAAGTAAAATGGCTGCCATGTGAGACTACTGGGATGGATAACGTGAGGGACAACAAATGGAACGGAGTTTTGAAGATGGTAAATCAAACCAGGGGGCCAACTTTAGGCTTTTAGCATCCCTTCCACTCACGCACTATAGTCTATATATACTAAGGAGTAATATAATACACATAATAATATTATCATATTCCTACTACATCGTATTTCTGTACATAGCTCTCTATACTTGCAAAGTACAGAATATTATATTTAACTTAAATATTAATCTTCGTTATTAACTGCATTCAAAGCAAATGGTTGTGACACGTGTATAATTTCTCAATTCTCACGTTTCACAACCATATATTATAATCAACACAGGGAACGGATCGGGAACGGATAAGGTAAGAACTGAGAAGTGTTCTTAGGCCGAGAACTGCAGAGTAATTTAAAAAGTTGTTAAAGTTAAACATTTGGCTTTATAAGTTATGTTTAACGTATTAATAATTTATTAGGACATATATGTCTTGGTAAATAAATAAATGTGAGAATGAATTTCAATCGTTGGATTTATGATATTGCACTAAAACAAGCTTTATGTTGCACTGGGAATTAAAATTTGCGATATTGCACTAAAACTGTTTAATATTGCACCAGGATTTGACAATGTTGCACTAAATTAGCTACATGTTGCGCTACAGAGGTGTCCTACGGATTTTTCAAAAATATTTATGAAAATGGCAACATAAATAGTTGCATATTTCAATGCAACATAAATCTCTTTTACTGCAACATAGTCGAACCAAACGGTTGAGACTTGAGAATCATTTTCATTTGACACCTAAAAGTAGGGGTGGACTTGGGCCGGGCGGCCCGGCCCGGCCCGGTACTGTTGGGGCCCAGCACGGCCTGGTACCCGGTCTTGGAGCCGGTTCGGGCCAACCGGAACCGGTCAGTGCCCGGTGCGGGCTCGGGCCTTGAAAATGGTGAACCGGCCCGGCCGGTTTGGGCCAATTTTTTTTTTCTTCATTTTTTTTTGGTTTCTACCTGGTAGGGCTGGGTGTTTTGGGGGGGTTTGGGGGGTGAGGGGGGGGGGGTCGGGGGTAATTTAGAAAAACATAAGAAAATAAAAAAAATAACTTGAACCAGAAACCGGCCCGGCCCGGAACCGCCGGCTACCCGGGCCGGTTCCCTACTTCGCAAACAAAAGCCCGTCCCGGCCCAGGTCCGAATCGGCCTGGGTCCATCCCTACCTAAAAGTAGGGCTGGATTCGGGTCGGGTCCAGGCCGGGCCTAGGCCCAAGGCGGGCCGCTGATTCTGAAAAGTTGGGTCCGGGACCGGCCCGGGTAGCTACCGGGTCCGGGTCGGGCCTCGGGTTTGGTTATGTTTTTTTGCTTTCCTAAGTATCCCTGACCCCCCCCCCCCCCAAACCCCTCCTTAACATCAAGCCCAACCCGGGTCAGCCGGGTGGAACCCAAAAAAAATGAAAAAAAATATCAAATTGGCCCGAACCGGGCCTCCTTTTCACTGACCCGAGCCCACCCTGCTTTTCCTAGCTAACCGGGCCTTAGACCGGTTTGGGGCCCACAGCACCAGGCCGGTCTGGTCTCGCACAGTAGCGGGCCGTGCCGGTTCTCGGGCCGGGTGGCCCGAACCGAGTCTAGGACTACCTAAAAGTTTCTTCTAATTTGAACCTCACCCTATATATATAGACAAATGTTCAGGTTCGGAATTCCGGACCAGAACCGCCGTCCAAACGGCGGCTTTTGGTCCACTTCGGTGAAATTTTTTGATGAAAGTTTTTGGACATGTTCTTCATCAAGTATAGTTTATCCACAAAAAAAATCAACTAAAAATTCAATAGGAAATGCAATCATATTAGTTTTGGAACATAATCGTGTTTTTATATGTATATTTTGGTGCGGTTATCTTCCAAAAATCATTTGAGTGTCTTTCCGATTGGATTGTTAGCTGAATTTTTGTGTGAAAAAACTAAACTAGATGAAGAACATGTCAAAAAAATTCATCAAAAAATTCCACCAGGAAGGGTCCCAAACTCCATCGTCCGGACGGCGGTTCCGTTCAGGATTCCTCCTGACCGGAAGAGTACTCTCTCTCTATATATATAGAGAGAAGAGGCAAATAAGCCCTCAAACTATTTGTGATTCTGCAATCAGGCCCTTCAATTGGAAGACTTGCAAATACACCCCTCAACTCATTAAAAATTAAGCAACCAGATCCTTTTTTACCTGCTGGTGCAGGTTAGGAGATGAAAAATTATCGGCACCAGCAGGTAAAAAGGGTTTGATTGCTTAGTGTTTAACGAGTTGAGGGATGTATATGCAAGTCTTCCGGTTCATGGGCCTGGTTGCAGAATCCCAAATAGTTTGAGGGCTTATTTGTCCCTTTTCTCTCTCTATATAAATGGTTTCAAATGAGAAAATGATTTTAGCAGGGAAAAGAAAATGAATCTGGACCGTTAGATTGTATTATGTGAAATTGAATGTGCATCAGGTGAAACTCAAATGCCAGCACAAAGGGTAAGACACAATGACATTATGTGAAGTTGAATTGTGTATTAAGTGAAACCGAATTGTGCATTAGGTGAAACTGAAATCTGCAGAATAAAAGATACGATCCAGTGATATTTGTGTACCTTTTATTATGCACATTTAAATTTCATCTAATGCACAATTAAAATTTTCTTTTATTATGCACATTTCAATTTCACCTAATACACATTATAGTTTCATGAAATGCACAGTCCAGTTTCACATAATACAATTCAATGATCGAAATTCATCTTTCAACCCTACGTAACTCGATCACTCCATGGTGGTGATTCAAAAGGGGATGGGCCATCGGCGCCTCTAATTAAAGATTGAACTGGCAATCATCACTTATTTTTCCACCACTGACAACCGACATCACAAGTGTGCCACATAATAACCCCTGGAGTAATATATGTTTGTAAACATCACTGAATGATTTATTTCCTTCTTCTAACCACCATTCCACCTAGGAATTGGAATCATTTTGCCCATAAAATACTCATAAATAGACTTAATCTTTAAGAAATTGTAGAAAATATGAGGGGCAGTGATGTTATCTCTCCTACAAAAAAGGCATTACGTAGGGAATACACAGATATTAAATTTACATACATTTTCTGGGAGAGGCAAAATGTTATGGAAGAGTTTCCACATGAAAATCTTAATATGGTGAAGCTGCTTGGGATGCCAGATGTGTGTATTTGAAAATGTGGCCGATTGAATGTCTTTGTCTTCCTCAAATGCACATGAGAGGGGGGGAGGAACCATCCTGGGAAGGTGTCCAAACTTTATGATCATTGATGATGTCAACCAGTGTCGGTCCCTGTTCATGAGTTTGACAAATACACTTCCATATAGCTGAGTCGGGTAATTTAGCTTTCATATATGATCCTCTTGGGTATCTAGCATGCATAAAATTAGCCCAAAGAGTGGAGTTGTTGAACCAATTCCACCAAATCTTAAGAGAGAAGGCAGTTCGAATATCTTTTAAAGACCTAATACCAAGCTCACATTCTTCGTAAGGAAAGCAAAGTTTCCTCCAACTTAGCCAATGTACTTTCTTAGTGCCATCTGTAGATCCCCCCAAAAAAGGAAAGTTTTCTCTCCAGAATCCTGATCACACTTTGAGGAAGATTGTGCATTGCCATTGAGTGTATAGCTATTGAAGCTAAGACATGCTTAATCAAAATAAGCCTTCCATTCTGAGATAGAATGTTCTTCTTTGAGAAATGAGAATGAATCTCGACCATTGAATTGTTTTGGAACTCTCGCATGTTCGGCGAAAATTTTTGCTTCATTTTGAGTGAAATTTTCTAGCAGGAGAAAAGGGTTGAGTTGTGGGTTTGATTAACCCTAATTCCTCTATTTCCTCACACAGTCAGACCTCCCATTCCATTAACCTCCCGCGCGCGCGCGCACACACACACACACCATCATCTCCGCGCCTCCACTACCGTCTTTTCTTGTTTCTGTTCCCAAATGGAGTTAGGAATCTCTACCTTCGCCTTTCGCACCATGAACTTCTGTTCTGCGACTGCAATGGCGATGAGCGACACGAAACAGTGTTGGCGACAGGAGATGGCGCTCGTGATCATTCCCAGGCGATTGTGCATGGCGCACTCAAATTGTCGTTTCAGGTGGCTGGGCATGATGATGAGAATTTTGATTTGGTCGTGTGGTGGTGGAAAGAAGCGCAGTTAAGGTGTGTGGGCTGTGGTGAGGCGCTGGCTAGAGCTATAGTGTGGGGTGGAAGTAGTGGTGTGCACTAGTTGGGGCATTGGCGGGAGGAGGGGTTAGGCCAGTGAATGTGCAAGTGTTACAGTGGCGGGGTTGGGATAGTGATGGGGTTGTGCCATGGATGGCTTAGGGTAGTGGCCAGGAAAAGCCGTGGCAAAGGGTGTGTCGGGGCAACGATTTGTGCAGAGTGTCATTGGTGGCGCTAAGGGCGGCGAGTCATGGAATCCACTAGGCGACATGGGCGATGGAGGCACTAAGGCGTCAGGTAGTCTGTTACTAGGCGTTGAGGTGGGGTCATTGGGGGTGTCGATGGAAATGTAGTCACTAGGATGCCACAACACTAAATACACTAGTGTTGATTGGTCACTTGGGCATCAGGAGTCACATAGCATTCGTCACATTAGTCATTATCTTAAGGGTATACATGTCATGTTAGTCACTCTTTTGGAACTGTTTAAACTTATTTTTATTTTTATCTGCAATTTCTTCTTTACTATTATTTATGTCAAAACTCCTATATGGCGTGTGTACATGTGCCTATGTGTATATATATCTATCTATTTTTTTAGAGAAAGGAATTTTTATTAATGAAAATTTAACGGGGAGTACAAGAAATGAAGATATATAAAAAGACGAAGAGGAAATCAAAATAGGCAATAACTGCAAGAAATACTAGTGAAACTACCAACCCTAAGAGCATCAAATTGACCCTCCGTAAAATCCCATTGTTCTCATTCAAGATGAGATTGAGATCTTGTCCTCAATTTGAGAGTGACTTTCCAAATTTGATTTGACAATAATATGAGTATTTAAGTTGTGCATAGACAAGCAGTTGAGAGTGACTTTCCAAATTCGAGTAATTGTGACATTTTGTAGTACATTTCATTGGAGGGAGATGAAACATTTTGCAATACATTATCTCAACAACCATGCTTTGTGTACACGTTAGTTAGACACGACATTTTACATGCCGGTCAAATTGTCTGTGCACAGACAACTTTTTTACATTTTGGGAAGAAAATTATTTTTTG